TGTGAAATGAATGTATTAGTTTTTGCCATAAAAATAAATATTGAAGATATAACTCATGTGTGAATATATTAGTACAATTAAAGCTATTTTGCTTGTGTTTTTTTCACTCTAGATCTTATTGCATGGAGGCATATAATTAGTCCCATTTCCCCACTGGATTATTCTTTATATTAATTAATTAATTTATGAGAGAGAGCGCGAGAGTGCGAGCATATGGGTACACACATGGGAGGAGGGGCAGAGGGAGAGGGAGAGAATGTTAAACAGGGCTCCACGCCTAGCACAGAGCCCCATCTCACGACCCTGGGATCATGACCTGAGCTGAAATCAAGAGTTGAGCACTTAAGTCAACTGAGCGGCCTAGGCATCCCCTCTGCTGGATTATTTTAAATAATCTGGGGCACCTGGGTGTCTCAGATGGTTAAGCGTCTGCCCTCGGCTGGGGTCCTGGGATCGAGCCCGTGGGGACCATGCTTCTCCCTCTCGTTCTACTCCTCCCCCCTGCTTGTGCTCTCTCGCTCTGTCAAATAAATAAAATCAGAGAGGAGAAGAGGAGGGGAGGGGAGGGGAGAGGAGAACTCCTCACACCCCCAGCCCTGGAGTGGAGCTTTTTTTAGACCAGCAACAACAGCACTGGAAACTTGTTAGAAATTCAAATTCTCTTGGGGGTGCCTGGGTGGCTTAGGGATTAAGCGTCTGCTTTCCGCTCAGGTCATGATCCCGGAGTCCCGGGATCAAGCCCCACATCGGGCTCCCCGCTGAGCGGGGAGCCTGCTTCTCCCTCTGACCCTCTCCCCTCTCATGCTCTCTCTCTCTCTCTCTCAAATAAATAAAATATTTTAAAAAAGAAATTCAAATTCTCCAGGGTTGTCCCAGGTCTGAAAATTCCGAATGCAAAGCTAGCGGGGAGGAGGCCCAGAAATCAGCCTTCACAAGTTCTCCAGGTGATTCTGACGTGCATTCAGCGTGAGAACCACTGCTTCCGTAACTTAAAAAGCCACAGGGGTTCCAGAGATCTCAAGTTGGGATTCCTTACACAGCCAGATGTGAACATCACCTCACGTGGCAAAAGGGATTTTGCAGAAAAAGATTTTGTTTATTTGACAGAGAGAGACACAGCGAAGAGGGAACACAAGCAGGGGGACTGGTAGATCATGACCTGAGCCGAAGGCAGACACCCAACCGACTGAGCCATCCAGGTGTCCCAAGGTTTTAGTTTTAATATGCCAAAGTTAGCCTTGGCTTAATTCCTAGGGGCTTTAGAAATTATCATTGAGCTAATGAAGATCTAGAAGTAGCTGGTTACCCTTCATGCGCTGGTCCGGCCGTGAGGGCATCGAGCCCCACGTTGGTCTCTGCTTCTGTCTCTCCCTCTGCTGCTCCCCCTGCTCGTGCTCTCTTGCTCATTCTCTCCTCTCTCAAATAAAATCTTAAAAAAAATAAAATCTTTGGATCATTTAGTCCAAACCCTTAAACCAGGGCCCAGGGTAAATTAATTCACAGGTGGGGATTAACATAAGAATAAAAAAATAAATAAAAAAAAATTAATTCACAGGCAACATCGCAACTAATTGATCCACTTGGCAAATTGTCTTGCCCAAAAGCCGCTCTGATCTTTTCTGGTTGGCTTCACTGGGGAAAAAAAAAAATGTGAGTTTTAAAAGTAAGTCTTCTCAGGAAGATGCTAATTTATATTTTATACCATGTAAAATGTGAGCAAATGAGGAAATTTTCTTGTAATTTAGCAGTTTGCTACATTCTCCCTTCCATGGGGGAATTTGCACTTTGAGTGTTTTCCCCCTAACCTCCCCTGTGCCTAAGCCTCTCCTCGAGCTTCAACTATCTCCCTCCATGAACAAATGCATTCATTCTCAAGCAGACAATGACCTGGGATCCAAAGAGAAATAAGTCTTTCATCTTAAGAAGCCCATAGTCTAGACCAGAGAGAAACTAGGCACATAAACAGTATTATAATTCATACTATAGATCTGAGAGATCCCAGATCCCAGAGCAAGTGGGACAAATGTTAGGGCAATCAGACAAGGTCTCATGATGTTACAATCTGGGCTGTCAGCGAAGACCCAAGAGGGTGGTACAGGGGAAACGATATTCTGAGCTGGTAGCAAGTACGAAGGGGTGGGGGGTGGAGAGAGAGAGAGAGGGAGAGAGGACCTCTGCCATGTTTAAGGAACAAGTAATTCGATGTGCTAGACAATTAGGATGTTTGGGGGAGGATGGCAGATGAGCTGGGAAGGAGAATGACTTAATAAAGAATGGAAAGGGACCTGGACTTTATCTTGTCAGCAAGAGGAAACTCTCATATGTGGTTGTTTTTGAAGGGAGTGGTGACATGATTTGCGTTAGAATAGCAGCTGTGAATATTTAATTCACATACAACCTATTTAGTTCTTAGAGCCCAGCAGTGAAGGCTCCGAAAATTACGCACATTCAACAACCGAGGCCGCCCACAGAGGCTGGTGACCCAGCTTCCGGTCACAGCTCGCAAGGATCAAACCCAGGCAGTCTGTCTCAAAGGCTCACTCCTCACGCCTCCAGAGAGCAGAGTGAAGGATGGACTGCGGGAGGAGGGAGAAGGAGAGGGAGAGAGTAAGACGCTGCTGGAAGACTCTAAGCCAGTGTTTCCCAAACTTAACATGCACACCCCACCTTTGCACTTTTGCCAGAACCAAGAATCACTTTTGATATTTCTTTGAACCAACACATCTACGCTTGAATTTTAAAGGGAAACCTGAGGACAACGACGAGGACGACAACCACAACAAAATACCCTAAAAGGTACAAAAATGAGGATGGGTCATGGTCCTAGAGACAAAAAGCTGTACCCAGAGTTAGAGGGGTCCCAGACATGGCAAAGCAGGAAATGGCGGGTCTGAGGCTGAGCCCAAAGTGTGGAGAACCAGCAAGAAGCCAGTTACTGAGAACCCCTTAAGCAAGATGGCAGCTCCAGGAAAGGGAGGAAAATCGGAGCCAGGGCAGTAAGTCTGAGGTAGTTGCATGGATAATAGGGTAAGGGGTTTGTGGAAAAGTGACGCTGGGATTGAAGAAAGGAGCCCTGGGGGCTGAGAGAAGGATGGAGCCCAAAAAGAGAGGGGTGACTGATGGGGAGACTCAGGCTGGGAGCCAAGCATAGGGTTGAGGATCTTTTAGGAGACTGAAGAGGATTGTAGGATGGGAAAGGAAGGGGGTTGCTCAGAAAGTTGGGAGGGGCGGAGAATTCCACAGGTGGGAGCTGAGGGGTAGGTGGGGCTGAGGAAGGGCTGCAGCAGGGTGACTTGGGGCCTAAGATATTGGGGGAGAAGTGGGTTGGGTGCTCAGCCCCTCTATACTGTACTTTGCAGGTTGTCCCTGAGCCTGAATCCTGAACACAGTGGTGACAGTCAGCTTCCCATGAGAGAGATAGATCTTCACCTATATACCACCAGAAATCAGCTCTAATACCTCCAGTGGTATGCACTACCTTTGTGGAAACACTGGTGTGGGCAGGGGATGATAAAAGCCTGAGTTGAAGACTGGAATACTTGGGGGCCATTGCTAAGTTTCTAGAACATCTGGGTTATCATCATTATTTTGTTTCATCTTTTTATCCTTCATAGTCCCTAGGCATGAAACTGGGACTCGAATATTCCATTATCGTAAGCAGTTGAAAAAATATGAATAGAGGTAAGTCTTCTGAGACATATCTTTTTTTTTTTTTAAAGATTTTATTTATTTAGTCGACAGAGAGAGACACAGTGAGAGAGGGAACACAAGCAGGGGGAGGGGCAGAGGGAGAAGCAGGCTTCCCACTGAGCAGGGAGCCTGATGTGGGGCTCGATCCCAGGACCCTGGGATCATGACCTGAGCCGAAGGCAGACGCT